TAATTCACGCTATAAAAACGATTCGCCTAGGGAACCTCGTCATTGAACGTTTCGATACTGACCGAGCGGCAGGGTTGTATTTTGACTTCAAGGTTTAACATTTTAACAGATAGTCTGAAATGACGTCAAAGCCGAAGATATCAATACAGGTGGTTAGCGATATAATATGACCCTGGTGTTGGGTTGGGAAGAGAAAGATGGAGTCGGCAATTGAAAAGGCACAGGGTAAGTGTGAGATAAAAACCCGGATCAAAACAATCGTTGTTTATATCATGACACCGGCGTTAGGCGACCAAGTCACCGTGACTTGCATATTCAGAGTTGCATGCCGGTGACATTACGGGGTTCTGACATACGGTGTTTTGTACTGGATTATGCGATCATGACTTTGATTTGTGTTTTGGTTAGGGTCTAATATATAAGTCGCTGTATAAACCTGCATTGCCCCTTTTAGCGGGAGAATATGTGGGGTCATTTCAAGTAGGAGTGGGCGGGGCTAAAACGTAATCCATCCCCATTAGCCCTCCACAGGGTTCTAAATGGCCCATTCCTAAAAAATATCGTTGCATCCCCTAAATTAGCGAATTCTCAACTACATGTAACCGACAGTGGAAAAGTAAAATTTAGCTTCATAGTTATGAGAAAATTGGCTCGTGTGATTAAGTTCTACATTGCGTTTACCTCGTGATTGCAGAGGTCATATTATGTGACCATAACTTGAACTCTGGTAACACACCTCCACCCTTGAAAATAACGGTGGCTAACAATTGCCAAACTGACAATAAAACTTTATTTTCAAAGTTCAAAATCTAAAATCTAAAACGAATTATGATAGCAATGAAGTTGAATTAACCATTGAGTACCAAAAATTAACCCAAATAATTTTTCCATATTTAAAAAAAAAAAATGATCAAGGTCTGTAACCAATATGGCCAAGATAATATAGAAAAATACAAAAAAAAATAAGCAAAATGTAGCAGAGAAATTTTGGTGAAAAAAACTCGGTGAGTGCCTAAATAAACTTCCGTCAACATTCACAAAATAAGTCATCGTTTATTTTACAAACTTTGATCAACTATTGCAGCCAATAACAAATTATGTCGATTAGATTCAAATTATCAATACATGTAAAAAAAATTTTTTTAAAAAGTACGAAAAATTGTTGGCGGCTAAAATTATGGTGTTTAAAGGTTAATAACATGCTGAACTCTTCTGTGTTGTCAACTGTAGCTGTCGATCATGGCTTTGATGTCCATTCTGCTGAGTCAGCATGATTGTGCGTAAACACCAGTGTATCATCATGAATCGGCAAAACACAAAACTGATAATAATCATTGTCTGTCTACAGTCTTTATTGCGTTTGAAAACAAACATGTTCACATTATACTACTACCTTAGTACTGTGCTATTTTAGCTTGGATTAATTTTGGCTGTTTTGCATGGAGTTTGTTTACACTGATTTTTGATGTGTTGAATGTAAAATATAGGAACAAAAAAGAATTTTCACTGACTCATCCCTTCAACGAAAATTGCAAAAATAAACTCCAAGTGAAAATGAAGTAGTTTACAGTGTGATTTAATTTTACGTATAGCAAAAAGATTCTGTATTGATCAAGTTGTAATTCTTGTCCGTTTGTACTTACAGATCAGTATGAGATCAGTGTTTCATGGGAGCCATTCTTTCTCCGACCCAACACACCTGTAGAGGGCGTGGCTAAACCACCTGCCACTGCTGGCAATCCAAGGTAATATATATATATTGGTAATTATGTATTTATATACACAGGTTTCATATTCTCTGTTTTATTCTTAATACAGCACAAATTTTGTAGAAAATACCTCTCCTTCTTATATGGTTCGCTCGTAAATGTGTGACAAATCAGTGAAATATTTCACTTATGTCAACACAAATTGTGAAGATGGTTACTTGTGAAATTTTAATGAATCAGTGTACAACAAATTGGATTTTTGTGCTACTGCTACATGTGCTACTATGGGAGTTGCGCTTCTAATAGAGCAAATACGGTATTGCTAAAATATTTGGTCAGCATGTATATACATGTATTAAAGTTATATTGGGACTGTCCAAAGGTGGTCACTTATAATGAGTATGGTAGTTGATGTCTTTGTATAAAGTTTATCTTGATGATAACCTTTTATTATAACTGTAATAAAAAAAAAACTATACTGTAATTGGAAGATGTGTCAACTTTTAATTATGTTTTCCAGAGTTGGAGAACGTTTGAAAACTGCTGGATCAGCTGTCGGCATTGATTTTACTGGAAAGTGTGATGTGCTACCAAATACTGCACTGGCCCATGTTTTAATGGAGTATACCAAACAGGTTTCTAGTCTCGCTAAGCACAATCAGATGGCCGAGATCTTGTTCAAAGTAAGTAATAATTATTATTTTTCATATGTTAATGTGAATGTTGCAGTTTTAGAGACACCAATTCACTACAAAACTTGTTTTCTAACTTTATCCTACCAACAGCATTTCTGACATTGACATTCACTTTTTTCTCACTCCTGACTTCTTTATGTATAAACTAATGATACATACAGTATATACTGGTAGTGTATTTTGTCCCAGAAACCATATTCTGTGTTCGAGACTACATGACAGACCTGATTGGTTATTGAAGTTTGCGACAGTTAAATGAGATCTCCTTCTGGCTTTTGCAAGGAAGGGAAACAATTGAAGAAAAAAATAATAAAATCACACACCAAAAAAAAAAAAGACTAAAATGAAAAAAAAATAACAAAAAATATATAAATTTTTTTAATTGAATTGCTGCAGACCTCATCAATTTTTAAGGTTGAATAATGAATGAATCTCGGCCAGATTTTGTTCAAACTTGGTTTATACATTTATAAAACCTTAATGCATGTGACTTCATTTGTCAGATTGGACTCAAAATGGCTGACTGGTGGCCATGTTGTTTCAATTAATGCAGCTTTAAGCCATGATTCTTTGATTGTTCATGTTCAAACTTTGTATATTTCTTAAACCTGAAAACTCACAGGACTATGCAATGCAATTACTTGTTTTACAGGGGTATTTCACTGATGGCGACCCTCCCTTTTTAGATAAATTACTAGAATATGCAGAGTCAATTGGTTTGGATCGAGATGCCACCAAGACGTACCTAATGAATCCAGAAAATAGGAAATCTGTTTATGACAAGGCAACGGCATGGAGTGTTAAAGGTGTTTCAGGTAATATACTGTTTTGATTAATTGGGATACCGGTATTTAGATTGAAGCTGATGTTTTTCATTATCATAGATTTCCTTACAGTTATGTTCTGGTCATCCAACTAGTGAAAATGAATGAACAAAATAATTTTTGTGGGTAGAACATGGTTAATTTAGTTGGAAATAAATACAAATTTGCACAGTTTTACCAAAAATATGGGTAGGTAGAGTTATCGGAAACACACTTATTTTTATTTTCTCGCTTTTGGTTTTGTAAGCATTACTTAAAGTGCCTGTGAAATGGCTGCTATTTTCACGCCTAAAATTATCAATTGATACTTAAATATTAATTTTTATGTTTCTAATCATGAATTATTTTTTTTAAGTGATAAAATGTGTTTTAAACTCAGTCTAGGGCAACTTTATTTTTGTGTATTTTAAAACGAGGCTCCTCATTAGCTTCTCATTTGCAGAAATTCCCTTTGTGCCGTCAGAAGGGGAAGTCGCATGGCAGCTTGCATAGCCGATACGTGTAAATAAGGCAAATTTCTTGTGCAGTTTTCTCGTCTTTGACTATATTGTCACTTATGTACTTGTTTTTCGAGGAAGAATGGACCATAATGAACACATAGTATAAATTTTTGTTGCATGGGATTGAGTTAGATGTGAAATATGTCCGTTCTGGTGTAGCTGGTCACCGTGATCGTCACTGACACCGGCGCACATTTGTACACTGTTGCTGGACAAAATAGAATTTGACGTCGGAATTATCTCGAAATTTAGCAGGTTACTAGGCACGTCACTACACTGTTTTATTTCATCCATCGTCTGAGTAAAACATATTTTGACATTCTAAACATTAGACTATAGTGATCACTATAAAATAATTAAAAAAAACAACAAATCACAGTTACTAAATAAATGACAGCCGCGTGGAAATAAATTGACATTTTGTTGAAATAGGTGAACGCGTCGGGTCACGGCGAGGGCAAGTGCGTTAAAAGCGGCC